TAAATAATAAATAAATATTTATTTTGCATTTAAATCAAAAGTAAATCATAAAAGGAAATATTTTAAAAATTAATTTGTCTTATTAAATATTCTTCAGATTATCCAAACATATCATAATTTACAGTTCTTTGTTTATTATATCTATGTATTTGTTCTATATCTTTAAATATGTATTTTATGTTTATGAAATATTTTCAAAATTATTTAATTTTAAAATAAAAAATAAAAGTCTCTCCTCTCTAAGGTGTTTTATCGAAGTGTATATCCAAAGGTAGCACTTACATTATCCAGGACGGAGCCATTGCCACTCGCCTGGGCCTCGAATCTGGGCCCAAGTCCACTAGCAGGCCAGGCAGCGTCCAATGTCTGCGGCAACAAGCTGCGTTCCATGCTCAGCAGCTGCGCAGCGATGAGCGAGGGGGTCAGCACACATCAAGGTAGTCCGGACTAGCAGTGCCGTCTGACCACTGACAGCGGCTTTTATAGTCTGTGTTCTGAGCCAATTAGCCGCGGATCGATGGCATATGCATAAATTGAAATAGCTGTCGTATCAAAGTCACTTTTACGTTTATTTCATAATCAACAATTGGCCGCTGTGTATAAGCTGGGACTCGTCTTTTAGGATAGCAAAATGGTCAATAGTCTATTCGAAGCTGGCGCTCAGAGCTGAGCCAAGAACTTCTGGCCACACTTGTGGCATAGTTTCTTTCTATTCGACTGGGGCATGCCTATGGAACACACTGAACACGGTGATAGAGAGTTTTTCGAGCTGCTTTTTTGACATGGGGCGGCCAGGGAATAGGGAGAATCGAGACCTTCAGTGGAGTCTCCATGAGACATATTTTTCTCCTGATACGCGTGCTCCTCTTCGTCATCATCCGTACTGGGTACATCGTAGCGCACAATGCTGACCTGCTCGCCGAGTATGAGCTCCTTGCAGCAGTCCTTGATTTGATAATACGCATTTCTGAAGGCCTTAAGTTTGCGTGCCTGCAACATACAATATTTGTGTTCGCATAATAAAATCAAACTGTAAATGGGAAGCATTCATCTCAACATACCGGCGACAGATCAATAATTGATACGCTCTTGCCGTTCTTCCCGTACGCGCCGAGCATTATGACATGTGAGGTGTGGAGAATCCGGTTGGCATCCGCCCAGAGCAGCAGCTCCTTGAATATATGCTCATTCATGGCTATGATGTAGTCAAAGTAATAAAAGTCCTGCACAGTTAGCTGCCAGAGAGAGGAAAGCAAATAGAAAATCATTTAGCTTAACAATGATTTCCTTTCGTAACCATTCCATTTGCATTACCAGCCGGCAGAAGTGATCGGAGCGCAGTCCGTGCTCTCGGAGGACTTTGAGGCACAGCTTGTGCGGTCGCCTGCCAATGTTCCAGGTGCGCAGCGCTGCACTGTCCACCTCCCAGTATAGGCTTGTCTTCACCATCAGCGTCTGCATAATTGTCTCGGCCATTGGCGAGCTGCACGAGTTGCCTGCACCAGAGACGGATGGATTAATGGATGGATTGCTGTGGAGGCTCCGCTGTTCGGCGACTCACCCATGCAAACGAAAAGTAGTTTCTTAAATGTCATTTTGGGTGCTTTGAGTTGGTACTGAGAATTTGGGTTGTGGTTTAAAAAAAGTATACGTTTCACGCTATTATATCAATTCTATGTCTGATCTAAATTATATTTGGTTTCACCTCGAACTTCGACTTTGTTGCTTTAAGAGAGAGCCAGAGCCTGCTGAGTCGAAATTGGTTTCGGGGCTCATTAGCAAGTCGTTGCCGTTGTCAGCATTTTCAAATTAACACAAATGAGCCGTGTCACTGCTAATGTACGACAAGACACGAACCGCGACCACAAACATGACCCGCCTCATGAACTTTGCCCCCAGACATTAGTCTCGCTCCAATTTGGCGCAGTCTATTTTCTATGATTCGCATTGTGGCATCTGAAATGCGACTGCCACAAGTTCGCAATGCATTGTGGGTGTAAGAGAGAGAGAGAGAGAGAGAGAGAGAGAGAGAGAGAGAGAGAGAGAGAGTGTGTGTGTGTTTGTGACTGCACTTCTGTGCCTGTTGCTGTCGTTCGAACTGGTTGTCCTTTGTGCCATGCTCAACTCTAACTTGTCGCCGTCCAAAGCGCACAGTGGGACGAGTCTCTAAATACTTAAGAAAAATAATCAACAAAATAATAACTCTTGCGCTTGCCAGTAATAGACTCAACCCATATAAGTACAAATCATAATACATCAAGAGATCAACTTAAATTTACTCAATGATAATCGAATGTACACATATTTGAGCACACTGTGCAAAGTGGCGATTTAGCTGGGAGTCACCTTCTCTGTTGACTTGGCAAATGTTTGCTTTACGCCCACTTGCTACTTCATTCGTGTTGCACTCGCTGTCGAGTCAAAGGGATTAAAAATATTTGGCTGGCAGGTGGGGCGTTGGCGGCGCCGTTACACAAAGAGTGTCAAGTGCTCGTGAGGTGTCCGCGAGCATTCTAAATTGGCTTGCAGGGTTGGGGCCGTGGGCGTGGCCGACAGCAGGGCAAACAACCGGCGAGTTCAGAGAACTGGACCGATGCCATGGCCCACATAGGCAAATGCAAACGCAGATGCAATGCATCGCCGCATTCACTTTTCACTTCCCTCCGCTTCCCCTCCCAAGGGAGCGTACATACCATAATGATAGACTATACCAGGCTCTACCTTTTGCTTGAATGTTAGCTGCATTTCGCTCTGCACACAAATCTCGCAAAGGACTTTGGTTTTTTCCACCTCTTTATACCCTGAGCTCATTGAATATCGGGGTATAATGCTTTTGTGAAAATGAGTGCAGATACATGGATACATGGATACATGGATAGATGGATACATGGATAAATGGATACATGGATACATGGATACATGAATACATGGATACATGGATACATGAATACATGGATACATGGATACATGGATACATGGATACATGGATACATGGATACATGGATGCATGGATACATGGATACATGGATACATGGATACATGGATACATGGATACATGGATACATGGATACATGGATACATGGATACATGGATACATGGATACATGGATACATGGATACATGGATACATGGATACATGGATACATGGATACATGGATACATGGATACANCGAGTTGCCTGCACCAGAGACGGATGGATTAATGGATGGATTGCTGTGGAGGCTCCGCTGTTCGGCGACTCACCCATGCAAACGAAAAGTAGTTTCTTAAATGTCATTTTGGGTGCTTTGAGTTGGTACTGAGAATTTGGGTTGTGGTTTAAAAAAAGTATACGTTTCACGCTATTATATCAATTCTATGTCTGATCTAAATTATATTTGGTTTCACCTCGAACTTCGACTTTGTTGCTTTAAGAGAGAGCCAGAGCCTGCTGAGTCGAAATTGGTTTCGGGGCTCATTAGCAAGTCGTTGCCGTTGTCAGCATTTTCAAATTAACACAAATGAGCCGTGTCACTGCTAATGTACGACAAGACACGAACCGCGACCACAAACATGACCCGCCTCATGAACTTTGCCCCCAGACATTAGTCTCGCTCCAATTTGGCGCAGTCTATTTTCTATGATTCGCATTGTGGCATCTGAAATGCGACTGCCACAAGTTCGCAATGCATTGTGGGTGTAAGAGAGAGAGAGAGAGAGAGAGAGAGAGAGAGAGAGAGAGAGTGTGTGTGTGTTTGTGACTGCACTTCTGTGCCTGTTGCTGTCGTTCGAACTGGTTGTCCTTTGTGCCATGCTCAACTCTAACTTGTCGCCGTCCAAAGCGCACAGTGGGACGAGTCTCTAAATACTTAAGAAAAATAATCAACAAAATAATAACTCTTGCGCTTGCCAGTAATAGACTCAACCCATATAAGTACAAATCATAATACATCAAGAGATCAACTTAAATTTACTCAATGATAATCGAATGTACACATATTTGAGCACACTGTGCAAAGTGGCGATTTAGCTGGGAGTCACCTTCTCTGTTGACTTGGCAAATGTTTGCTTTACGCCCACTTGCTACTTCATTCGTGTTGCACTCGCTGTCGAGTCAAAGGGATTAAAAATATTTGGCTGGCAGGTGGGGCGTTGGCGGCGCCGTTACACAAAGAGTGTCAAGTGCTCGTGAGGTGTCCGCGAGCATTCTAAATTGGCTTGCAGGGTTGGGGCCGTGGGCGTGGCCGACAGCAGGGCAAACAACCGGCGAGTTCAGAGAACTGGACCGATGCCATGGCCCACATAGGCAAATGCAAACGCAGATGCAATGCATCGCCGCATTCACTTTTCACTTCCCTCCGCTTCCCCTCCCAAGGGAGCGTACATACCATAATGATAGACTATACCAGGCTCTACCTTTTGCTTGAATGTTAGCTGCATTTCGCTCTGCACACAAATCTCGCAAAGGACTTTGGTTTTTTCCACCTCTTTATACCCTGAGCTCATTGAATATCGGGGTATAATGCTTTTGTGAAAATGAGTGCAGATACATGGATACATGGATACATGGATAGATGGATACATGGATAAATGGATACATGGATACATGGATACATGAATACATGGATACATGGATACATGAATACATGGATACATGGATACATGGATACATGGATACATGGATACATGGATACATGGATGCATGGATACATGGATACATGGATACATGGATACATGGATACATGGATACATGGATACATGGATACATGGATACATGGATACATGGATACATGGATACATAGATACATAGATACATGTAGAAGTGCAGATCCATTTAAGGGAATCTCGTATTCGAACAGTCTCGACTAGATCTTCCTTATTTGTTTTGTTTGGTTTCCATTTCTATATCTATGCAATAAAAGCATTATTAAAGGACTGCTGACTGTCGACATTTTGCGAGTGCATCGCCTTTAACTGGCAACAGCAGTTTGCCAATCCAGCGGAGCTGGGGCAACTGTTTGGGCGCTGAACGTTGCCCATTGCAAATATCCAATTGGAATTGCATTGAACTACTAAATTGAAAACTGAAAAGCATATTTCACTTATCACTTTTCACACAAAACAAGCTCGGAAACAAAGGCAGGGGACGGGCAGAGGGTGAGACTGAAATGAAATTGTTAAAAGTAAAACACTGCAACAACAACAGACACAACAACAGCAACAAAAACAACAACAACAACAACAACAACGACGAGGACGACGACAACATTCTGGCTGACCGACTGACTGGCTGGCTGCCCAGCCAATACAATAATACTGTTTGCATTCGAATGTGTGTGTGTGTGTGTGTTTGGGGTGTTAGCCGATCAATGGATAGGTGAAAATGGTTTCTCTGAGTGAAGCGGCGCATTGTTGTTTTAATTAAAAACCAAGCCAGCACTATTTCCCCGATAAAAACGAAGAAAAAAAGAAGGCAATGAAAACGAAATCAAAGTGAGCAAAGCTGAGAGCAGCTGCAACCGGTGGAATAGATGGAATGAAAGCTGTTGAATATTTAGTGCATGCTGGAAAAGTTATGGGGAAAAAGTGAAAATTATTGAGCACAAAAATGTGTAAG